TATTGAACATGTAATTCACTTAACAGCTGCAGAGGTTTGTTTAACAACCATGACAAAAATATCATAAAATCAGACGTGACTTACTTAACAACCCCCTTGCTTAGCAATGGAAATTCTGGCCCCAGCTGTGGTCATAAATTAAGGATTACCTGTATCTGTGCAAACATTATCTACACTAAATGGAATTTGTGTATAATGGGTGATATATGGTCCTTAATGCCCACCCTTCCCTGATACCTTGTTAATTTTTTGTTTTACCTTTGAACAGTCACAGGGGTGAGATCTAAACTACAGCTGAGTGAAAGTAACTCCAAATGGAGAACAAGTCATTTGGATCAGGGGTGGGATTCAACCGGTGTTACTACCGGTTCGGTAACTACGCTGCGCACACCTGTAAAAAACCCATCAGCTGTGCCACCTGGAGAGATGAAAAGCGCAGCACGCAGGTGCACAGTGTTTGAAAAGCCTCTTTTTTCCTGCTTTTTCAACCTCAACTGTGCCGTGCAAAGCAGTTGAGGTTGAAAAAGGAGGAAATAAAGGACAGGTAAGGACGGGCGGACAGGTGGGCCAAACAGCAGTAAACACAGAACTGGTTCGGTGTCTGCTGCTCTTCAGAGCTACTGGTTCTATAGAGCCAGGCAGAACCGGTAGCATCCCACCCAGTGGTGATATTCAGCAGGTTCTGACCAGTTCTGGAGAACCAGCAGCGGAAATTTTGAGTAGTTTGGAGAACCGGCAAATACCACCTCTGACTGGAGATTTTACAGTATCCTTCCCCTGCCACGCCCACCAAGCCATGCCCACAGAACCAGTAGTAAAGAAATTTGAATCCCACCACTGATTTGGATGGGATTGTACCTTGAAATCCCAAAATATTATGAGAAAATGAAAAAAGAAAAGATCTGGTATTTCCAGATATATCAGACTATAGTTTTCATAATCCCCATAACCCACCAGTTGTGAGCAATGGAAACTCTAGTCCAACACATTAGAAGGACATTAATCAGGGGAGTATTGAAACTGGGATTTTCAGCCTCAAAAATATTTTTATATTGAATAATCATGCAATATAGCTAATCTGGGTTTATAATTTGAACTAGCAAATAGAGGTTTATATCTCTTCCGCTCCCAGGTGGGAAAGAAGTCTTTGTCTACATCGGATATTAACATACAGCACCAGGTAGACGTTTCGTCTTTAAATGTTTTTCTCTGACATATTTAGATACCCTTTTGTATGACAGTTCTTAACATAAGGTTCCTCCACTTACTTTAACACTCCAGGGAAACACACTCCAGAATTAAGCAGTCTCTCATATGTTATTTGAAATAGCATAGTCCATCCAGAACTACATTCTATGGGGTCCTTGGTGCTCTTCGTGGTTGGCTGTTTTCTTATAGACATTCATTAACCAAACTAGGTAATATCATCAGCACTGATGATGTTACATAGTTGGGGTAATGAAATATGATACTTCATTACCCCAGCTAGGCAACATCATCATTGCTGATGATGTTACCTAGTTTGGTTAATGAAACGTCTGTAGGAAAACAACCAAGTTCATTTCAACCCCAAGTTACAAATATTCTGCTTTATTGGTACTATACTGCGATTATTCAGAATGCCCAAATGGACTTATTTGGTGTAGGCGTTAAGAGGGGACTGTGAGTTCTAGTTCTGCCTTAAACATGAAAGCCGATGGGGTAACTTTGAGTCAGTCGTTCTTTCTCAGTCCAATCCACCTCGTGGGGTTGTTGCGGAGAAAATGGAAGGAAAGGAAAGAGCATATTATGCATGTTTGGTGTTTTGATTTACTTACAGAGTAATAAAGGTGGAATTTAAAAAAATCAAATAAATAAATTAAAAATAAAAATATTTAACGATGAATCCAATCTTCACACTTTCTTTTCAATAGAAATTGATTTCTGGATGTATTATCATGCAGTATCACTTCCTTCAAAAGGAGTCTTAGAATGGATATGTGCCCTATTCAATACGGTGCAGTATCAGTGAGTCATTTGGATTTGCATATCAGTGGGGGAGGGGAGAGAATAATAGGCTTTAATATCACATTCCAGAATTATAGATTTCTATTGTATACTTACATGTACAGGTCGTCCTCGACTTATGACCACAATTGAGCCCAAAATTAATGTTAAGTGTGTTTTGCTCCATTTTGTGACATCTCTTGTCACAGTTGTTAAGTGAACCACTGCAGTTAGTAAGTTTTGTAACCTGGTTGTAAGGGAATCTGGCTTCCTCATTGATTTTGGTTGTTGGAAAGTTGCAAAAAGTGATCAAATGACCCTGGGATGCTGCAACAGTCATAAGTATGAACTAATTGCCAAGCATCTGAATTTTGATCATATGATCATGGGGATGCTGCAAAAGTCATAACTTTAAAAAACGGTCATAAGTCACTTTTTTCAATGCCGTTGTAACTTTGAACAATCACTAAATGAACTGTTGTAAGTTGAGGACAACCTGTATTTGCCCTACAGTGCTAATGGAGAGATCCAAAACAGCTGTCATAGAAATACACTCTAAGATAGGGTGACCAACTTTTTTACAATGAGAAGGAGGACACAAATAAATTGAAGAAAAAAAACAAAGACACTTGTGCGCAGCGCACTCTTGCATGCAGCACACTGTCTCGACACAGTTCTCCTGTGTGGAGCGCATGCATCTCATAGTTGCGTCTCTCCGCACTGTACCGAGCCTTGACGAATCGTCATGTCAAATACAAATACGTCGCATCACATACAACGGATCAGATCGTCATTGATCAAATACTGAGATTTACAGATTAGTCTTCAAATATCAAAAAAGAGCACATGTAGGAGGACACTTTTCGAGAGAGGACAGAACTTACAAAAGACAAACTGTCCTTCCTAAAGGAGGACGGTTGGTCACCTTATCTAAGAGGACATATATGATTGTAATCACATTAGTTTGTTTCTTGTCAACAGTTTTTTTTTTAATTATAAAAAGCCTTGTAGAATGTTCCTCTTTGAGCATTTAGACCTTTCATTAAATGTATATCTTAGATCAATGTTTTTCTACCTTGCAATATTTTAAGATGGGTGGACTTCAACTCCCAGAATTCCTGAAAATGGTTGATTGAGGATTTCTGGGAGTTGAAGTCCACTCATGTTGAGAACCACTGTTTTAGATTATTACCTTTAAGACTCTGAGCTATTTTGGGAATGAATGGGGCAGAGAGGTTCTGCAGGATAGAGTTAAAAATGAAGAGTTGCTTCTCCACATTTCCAGGAACCTCCAATGTTTGGAAGAATCTGAAGGTCAAGCAGATTATTGTGATATATTGGCTTCTTAGAGAATGTTTGCTCAGAAATTAGAAGACAATAAACTAGCACTGCAAAACTTCCTGCTAATCAAGTTGAAAAAACCCATAATGCTTATCCTCACAAAAGTTGTGCTATTCTTTACTCCTCTTCAAAGAAACTAAAGCTATGAATGTATTTCACACCCACTGTCCTTTCTTTAAGGGAGATGAATTTGGGGAACAACCCTCAACCCTTTGGATGAAACGGTCCACATCCCTCTTAGAAAGCACTTCTTGCTTTTCCCTCAAATACCCAAGTGCATTTTTGAAGCAATGTGTAAGTGTTGCTTAGTAGTGAAATGTAGATGTTAACAAATACAGGGTTTTACTTTCACAGTTCAGATCTAGGAAGATTTTATTAGTACCCCACTCAGCTTCAGTGAAGTCACATTTCCTTGACTTACTTGGAAACTTCAAGAAAGTTTGAGAACAGCATTTTCCTTCCTAAAACAAACTGAATGAACAAAATTAAACTTATTGCCCAGTACCTGGTGTTTCCTGAAGCAAATCATAGCCATTCATGTTCCAGATGGACCTGCAGATTCCCCAGAAGAAGAAAAGAGAACTAGAGGGACATCATGGACAGAAAGAGGCTTCGGCACAGCCAGCACCTCAAGGAGTCTGAGCAAGGAGCCATATTTGGTCTGACTAAGCAACACAAAGTCAGCTGAAATGCGGCTGGAGTGGGGTGGGGGTGGGGGTGGAGGGATAAACTAATCTCTTAATGCCAGTCACAATGCGATTTGATTGGAAGTAGTTCATTCAGTAAATTTGCAGGCTGTAAGGGGTTCTGCTGAATCAGATTTCACCAAAACCCAATCAGGTTTCATAAGGCAGGACTCAGGCTGGATTTGAAACCTAGATTGTATGACCTGTACGATCCTTGCCCAGACCAATTGTTTTTTGCATATCCATTTTTGCAGATACCTCAAATATGGGAGTGAATTGGAGGAAAGGCAAAGATCAACCCAAAGAGAATCCTTTGTATTTCATTGCCCCTCTACCTGCTTTTTTCCATAGCTCTGCAAGATGGAGGCAAGGGCATTAAGACCGGAAGAACTATGGATTTTGTAAGATCAAAAGCAAACTCTGGATGGCTGCTACATGCACTCTGAGCACTTAATTGATGAGATGCTATTTTGACCTTAGCTTTTGAGTTAGCTTTTGAGTTCAACTTGGCAGGAAGCTAGTAAAAGTTAGCTTTGCCACTAGGTGGCTATCAAGGATAGTGAATAACAAAGCCCAACCAGAAACTTCAGAGGACATTGTAAATCCTGTCTTGAGGATTGGAGATCCATGTCTCTTCTCCTCTTTCTGTTCATTTCTGGAGCTATATTTGTTTCTGGAGCTAAAACATCTTTGAGTTCCTATTTGGAGCTCTTTGTTAGTCACTTTTTCAAGCTAACTCAAAAAAAGGGGACAAAATAGCAGGTATCACTTTAGCAAACCTCTTTGCTTGTGTAGGTGAAGAAGGTAACTTGCCACTTCCATTTTATTTAAAGGGACAGGCTAGAATGGGCTAGAAATGTTTAAATTTAATTCCTTGTATACTTGGATTCTGTACTTGTAAAAGTGTTGACCAGTGGGGCAAAAAATACGTACAGTTACAGTGGCTAGCAGAATAACTTCAATTTTATCTCCTTTCTTTGCTTAAAGCAGTATATCTCAACTTCAGCCGCATTCAGACATGAGGATCTCCACTCCCAGAATTCTCAAGGGACGTCCTTTGCATGTTTCTATGTAATATGTCTCTGCTTACTTTCGTCACTTACAGGTAATCCTCAATTTACAATTGGGAATAGAATTTCCATTGCGAAGCAAAGTGTTTGTTAAGTGAGTTGGGCCTGATTTTATGACCATTTTGCCATGTTTGTTAAGTGAACCCCTTCAGTTGTTAAATAAATTGCACAAACATTAAGTGAATCCCGGTTCCTCCATTGACTTTGTTTGTTGGAAGTTGACTGGGAAGGTTGCAAATGGTGATTGTGTGACTTCGAGACCCTGCAGGCATCATAAATACATGCTGGTCGCCAAGTTTTGGTCACGTGATTGTGGAGATGCTGTGACAGCTAAAATTGCAAGGACTGGTCATAGGTCACTTTTTAAAATGCTATTGTCAGTTTGAATAATCACTAAATGAATAGTTGTAGAACTAGAACTAACATTATTGCCTCTCTCAGTTCAGTTTCCTTTTCTTTTCTGATTCCAGCTTGTGCCGTTCACTTCTCTGATTTTTCTCCATAATGACATTGCAGGCTGTTTGTTATATACAAAGATGTCTGCTAGCCAACAGAAAACAGATAGACAGCTTAGAATAAGTCTTTTTTCCCATCAAAGGTTCAGTGCAATGAATATTATATCAGCTTGTAATGCAATAATTTCTGATAAAGTTAATCCTGATAAAGTTTATCTGCAGGGTCATTGCATGACTGCTTGCATCTGAAAACATAAAAGCTATAGGCATGTTGTGATCTTTTTAATCTAAGGCAAGCTGCTCTAGACATGAAACAAATTCTGATGGTCAGTAGCATTAAAATCCAGTTTTCTTGACAAAGAATTTTCAGGTTTTAAACATAACAGATCTCTTTCTAAGAACGTGACAAGATAAAGTTTGTTCCGAGGTCTATATTTGACTCAAAGACAATTTCCTGATCCAGAATGTTCCATGCAAGAAAGAGCATTTTTAAATCAGGGAACAAATCTTAAAATACATTTTCCTAAAAGCAGAAGCAACCCAGTGTTTGCTTGAGTTTAAAAAGAGAGCCAGTCAATATAGAAGGGCATTTCATATAAAAAGCAACTTTCCTTTATTGCTGGGACTGATGGAGAAGATAGTTCTTACAAGACTTTAAGGATATCTCTGACTTCAAACTGGGTTGAAATACACTTGCAAAACCACATATATTAACATATACATTCCCATTACAAATGCCTCTTTTTACTCTCTGCGAATATGTTTTGATGTTAAAAGAGAAACAAGTCAGAGGGCTTAAAAACTTCAAAAGTATGCTAGAACTAATACAATTTCTATCCTTTTCCTACTTAAGTGGGAGAAGAATGAATATTTTAACTGTTAAAATATTTTTGAAAGTAAGAATATTTTTTGCATATAAAAAAATGCAAAAAAGTAAAAAAAGAGAAGGTAAACACAAATTTATAAACAGAATTTACAGACATCATAAATTTAGGTTAAAATTTCCAATACTTCAGTGTTTATTTTAAATGACATGATATATGTAAGTATACCATGTCATTTCAATAGCTACTAATTATTCTTAGTAAAATATGAATATCAATGGCAAATAGCAAATCTTACAAGTTATAATAAATCTATATATGAACTTGTGCCATTTCTAAAATGTGGCTTCTCCTTAATTGTATTATTTATATCAATAAAAATAGTTTTTAAAATGCTATAGGATATGGTTTTATACAAGAACCGTCCTCTCCTAATAGGCCCACCTCATATAAAATGGGCACTTAAAATTAAATTTACACACAGTATCAATTCAATTTCAATGAAGCACTAGAAAACATCGATGCTGGCCTCAAAGTAAATGGTATTCGGATCAACAACTTAAGATAAGCTGATGACACAGTTCTGCTTGCCAGTAAACATGAAGACCTTCAGTTCCTCATCAACAGAGTCACAGAAATATCTGAAAAATATGGCTTGAAGCTCAAAAACCAAGATCATGATCCTCAGCAAACAACCCATTAATTTACCACTGATAACTTCAGAAGGAATATCACTAGAAAAAGTTGAAAGGATCACGTACCTCAGTTCTAATTTACATGAAAGCTGGAACATGACCACTGAAGTAAAAACAAGGATAGAGAAAGCTCAAACAGCATTCTTAAAAATGAAAAAGGTATTCTGTAGTCCAACATAAGCCTAAGATTGAAAACCAGGGTTTTCAGATGCTACATCTTTTCTATCCTGCTCTACGGAGTGAAGAGTTGGTCTTTGACAGAAAGCCACTTGAAGAGACTAGAAGCATTTGAAATGTGGATTTACTGACAACTGTTGCATATACGTTGGGTTGACAAAATCAGAAATGAGGAGGTGATAAGCCGCCTGGGAAAGCCAAGAGAAATCATCAAAACTATAAAAACGTGAAAGTTAGAATATTTTGGACTTGTGATGCGACACCCAGAAAAATACAGCACATTTCACTTAATCCTCCAAGGAAAGGTTGAAGGCAAATGAGAACAGCATGACTTCAAAATCCAAGGGATTGGCTTGGACAAAACTCAACAGCCCTTTTTTATGTGGTTGTTGATAAAGATAGTATTGCCAACATGATCACCAATGTCCGATGACAGATATGGCACAAGAAGAAGATCAGTTCAATATGATTATGGTCAATTTAAGAAGAGAAAATATAATACAATATATTATTACAATAAAACTAATTCTATTGTCAATGGTTCTGCAATTGATCCCCAATGACCTCTGAAAGACCCACAGGTCAGCCATTTTTCCAGAAGACCCTAAGAATGGGGACTCTCGTAGAATGGAACGGAGTGCAGTGGAGTGAACTAGAGTAGAGTAAAGTAAAACAGAACAGAACAGAATAATAGAGTTGGAAGGGACTTGGTGATCTTCTTGTCCAATCCCTTGCTCAAGCAGGAGACCCTATACCATTTCATTTCTTTGCCTTGAGGGTGGGACAGCACCTACTAAGAGAATGTCTTCCTCCTAGCCCCTCTCATTATACCATTTGATAGATGGCATTCTTTACAGGAGATCTCTGCCCAGCCACATAAGGAAAACAGAATGGAAGCATCCTGTACCTTGAGAGCGACTATGTTAATGTATTGAATGTAGTGTGTTAAATGTAACCTTATATAAAATCACTTTTCAGAAATTCTATGCCCAGAATGAATTGTCAGGTGCACATCCTGGTTTCAGGACCGGGCTGATATAAGTCAGCCAGGTAGACATCACTTTTAACTGAGAGCAGTTTTCCCTCCATGTTTTCAGAGTTGCCCTTGACTCATTGCAACCACATTGTATATTGCATTATTGTTCTGTTTCACAGCCTGAAATATGGTTTGACAAAAGGAAGTGTAACACACTTTATTTTACTTCCTTTTTTTGGAAGATATATTGTAATGTTGACAGGAGATAAGACAGTTCCCCCACTGGTAGAAATATTTTATTGAGTTACCTGAAAGGGTATCACTTAAAATTAAACCCTTTGTTGCAGATATCTTATGTACAGTATATAATAGAAGCACCTCTGCACACACACATCCATAGTTTTTTGCAGTTGTGAAATCATTATACAGAATTGAGTCCGTTGGCTTTAGTTAGGCTCCACTGATGCTGGCCTTATAAATATATTCAAAACCCTTGAAAAAAGCTGGATATTTTCAGCTGAAGGGACTAGAGAGGACAGCAGGAAGCATTTCACCGTTTTACCTTCTAGTAAAAATAGAACATAGAACAAAAGAGTTCATATTAGTGATTTTATAACTGAGGAAACTTAAAAGGAACTTTAAAAAATCAGAGTCTGGGCTGGTCTAGTGTCCTCTTCTCAAAGTGCCCAAATATGCTATTGAAAAGTTTTCAAGAAAGGCCTTTGTAATAGCATTGTTCTTGTTCATGTACCGAAACAACAGGTCCCAAGAGATATATGGGCATGAAATTGAAGCTAGAATACATAGATTCTTCATCATTAAACTGCTTATTTTCTATCAATTTCACTAAAACATGTTCCAAGCTAACTTGTGGAAGAGAATCTCATATATACACTGTATAGGTAGTCCTCAATGGACGACCACAATTAACCCCAAAATTTCTGTTGCTAAGTGAGACACTTGTTAAGTGAGTTTTGCCCCATTTTATGCCTTTCTTGCCACAGTTTTTAAGTGAATCATTGCAGTTGTTAAGTTAGTAGCAATAGCAATAGTACTTATATACCACTTCACAGTGCTTTACAGCTGTCTCTAAGGGCTTTACAGAGTCAGCATATTGCCCCCAACAATCTGGGTCCTCATTTTATCTGACCTCGGAAGGATGGAAGACTGAGTCAACCTTGAGCTGAAGAGAATCTAGCTGCTGAACTGCTGGCAGATGGCAGGCAGCAGAAGTAGCCTGCATTCTAACCACTGTGCCCCCACAACTCATAGTAACATGGTTATTAAGTGAATCTGCCTTCTTCTTTGCCTTTGTTTGTCAGAAGGTCGCAAAAGGTGATCACATGATCCCAGAACATTGCGTCGCTCATAAATATGAGTAAGTTGCCAAGCATGTGACTATGGGGATGTACCAATTGTTTTAAATGTGAAAAATGGTCATAAGTCACTTTTTTTCAGTGCCACTGTAATTTTGAATGGTCACTAAATGAACTGTTGTAAGTCAAGGACTACCTATAGTTGCTCTCAAGGAACAAAAAATTATATTTCTTGAACTTTCCCCCCATTATATTTCAAGGGAAATTTTATTAGAATACTATTAAAAAGAGGAAAAAATGCCACAACTTTCCCTGTTTGTCGGCGACCAGCAGCTCAACCCATAGGTGTACAGCTATTCCTCCACTTACAACCATTCATTTAGTGACTGTTCCAAGTTACAACAGCACTGAAAAAAGTGACTTAGAAACATACCTTGCACTTATAACTGTCACAGCATCCCCATGGTCACATGATCAAAATTTGGCACTTGGCAACCAGCGCCCAAATGGAAAGATATACTAATTCCGACAATGGAAAAATGGTTAGAGAAACTGATGGAGACCATCAAATTTACTGTTTTGATCAAAGAGA